TACTGAGTCTTTGTAATTCATAAATAATAAACAAAAAATACAATAAAATAATGCTGTATGAAAAGAAAACCAAAGAAATTTGTTACATAATACATAATTAACCAGCATCCGATTAGATTGTGAAGAGGAATTGCAATAAAAGGGTTTTGAATGTGGATAAGGATGCTGGATGGCGGATTTTAAGTGGGATGGAATTCCAAAAGGTGGTGGAGCGGACAATGAAGGAATGTTGAAATGAAGCAGATCTATGGAAAGGGGTGTAATGGTATATATATTGAAATTAGCGATATTTACTGACTTAACAGAACTGAAATTGTTGAACCAAGTAATCACGCGATTGAAAACGGGGCAAAAACATTTTAAAGTTTCCTTAAGGGTGCCGAAAACTGTGGATTTTACCCTATTTGGTTTTGATCTCCTTATCCTCTGATAAAATGTATTTTGATAGCTTTTATAAATAAATAAAATAAGCTAGAAGCTGAGAGGTTGAGCAGTATCATGCTTGGCAGCAGTATGCGTCGCCCCAGGGCTGACTCTTATTCCTGCTCCTGTCCCCACCACAGCTTCTAAATCCACTGTTATTTCAAGTTTTTAGTTAAATATGAATCTTTTTTTATTATTTAAAAATGTAATTTCAATCTAATACACAATCTTTGTTTTGGGTGCAAGTATCCAATTGTAATATAAGCTGTATATTTTTGCTTTATTTATTTATTTTATCACTTTTCTGCACAATATATAATATTTAAGGCTTTGGAAGAGAACTATTTGACTTTAGTTTATCATTTTAAATAACAATCCATTCCCATCCATATTTGTCTTTTATTTAACACTTCTAATTTATCATTTGGTTTTGGTTTGTTGGATTTTTATTTAGAACTAATGAAAATCCTTTTTATTATTAATCCTCTCATCGATATTAAGTTTGTAAAGATCTTAACTTTATTATTTTTATATCTTTTAAATCATTATTAATTTTTCTGGAATTAGAAATGAAATCAGTTGATGCTTGAAAAAAGAAAAATACATAAATATTGATTTCCATGATCGTTCTATGATCTTTCTAAGCTTTTTATTGAACTCTTACTTCAGAGATAATTTTATTTAGTGTAGAAAAATGAACAATCCTTATTAATCTCATTGTAACATTTTTTTTTATTACATGAAAAAAAATTAAACAGGTTTTTATTTAATTTCTTGTAGATGAAAGTATACTCTCTGATTTGTATTAATTTTTTAGTTTAAACTTATCCTTCAGTTGTTTTAGGGCTGTTAGATTTGAGAAGGAGTTGGTTGGGGGTGCGGTCAATATATAATACTATATATTATAATAGTATTTTATTGGATTTGCTGACATTTTGACCTAAGTTGTAGGTCCTCATCAGGACTACAAAAGAGATAAACTATAAATATTAATTGGTACAAGGAAAAAAAATTAAAGAATTATTAGTAGATATTAAACAAGTACTGATTACCAGATAAAGAAATTGAAAAACTAATAAGATAACCTAAGTGAAATTTAGTGAGTTATAGTATCATAATAATACAAAAAATTAAAGTTAATTTAGCATGTAAGTTAAAATGTAAACAAATTTGTGATAAACAAAAAATTAATGAATAAAAATATGGCATTAAGAATAATAGATAGATAGAAATTTCGGAAAGAAAATCCAATAAAATGCTATTATACCTAGTCCTGTCATAAATATTCTTACAAGGAAATATATACAGATTTCAACAGAAAAAATATTTTTTTCAAAAACTTTGTTAGAAAATTAAATGTATATCTATAGAGAGTAAAATAAGAAAGAAATCACTCAAAATGTCCCACTTTTGCCTTGACACAGGCATTTAATCTCCGTGGCCAGTCATCAATAACAGCACACAGCACTTCTTGAGGAAAGCGCTCAACTGCTCGGACCAGAGATTGTTCGAGGCTTTCCAAGTTAGGGTGTGCTCTGTGGCATGCCATCCTCTCCAGTCCGGACCAAAGCCGATAATCTAGTGGGTTCAGATCAGGGCTTCCTGAGGGCCAATCCGGACTCTGGAATGTTCTTTTGCAGCCACAGCTGGGTTGACCTGGCCTTGTGAGCTGGAGCGGAAGTATTCCTGAGTACCCATTGACTTCCAGCAAACAGAGTATCATTTAGAGGCTTGACAACAGGTTCCAAAATATCGTCCTGATAGTTTTTAGCAGCTGTTTCAATTCTTTTTTCACAAAAATGGAGCTTTATGGTGCCATTAAAACAAACTCCCCACCAAACCATCACTGAGGAAGGTTGATGACCTCTTTCCACTCTTCCAATGACTTCCTGGGCTTCTTTAGAGCTGTGTGCGTACACATGGTCATTTTGGCCAAGGAGCACTTTGAATCTATCCATTCTAATTATTTTTAGGGAAATGGTTAGCCTTTGTCCTGTCATTCTTCGAAATCCACCAATCCCAACGACACTTTTTACTTTGCGAGACATTGATCTTATAGAGATTACCATTTCCCGAGACATGATTTGTTGTTTTTTAATGGGATTTCTTCTGATTCTGGCAGCCACTTCTCTCACTGCATTTGCTGTTCTCACAGTGCATGTCTGTATGTGACGGCCTGGTGGAGGTCTGTCACATACCGATAGGGTCTCATTACATCTATTTATAGTGCAGCACACGAACATATGGCTGAAAAACCCAAACTTTTCAAAGTGTTGAAAATCTCTGATCTACATTTTCCAACTTCCAGCTTACTCCATGTTAACTGTGCTAAAGGAAAATACAAACTGATTGGATTATTATCCTGACATGTAAAGAAAATAACCTGATAGAGGTAAAGATTATCTAAATAATACCCAAGGATGTAAATAAAGTTCAAGTTTTGTAACAGTATTTATGGCAGAATTAGGTATATTGACGGCACCCCTGACCAACTCCTCAAATTATAATCACTGGCAATCATTTCTACACCATCATGTCAAAACCTATTTATGTTTATCGTTTGATAATCATACTTCAGAATTGTAATCAGTTTTTGTTTAGTTATTGTCTAATTGAAATTACTGTTTCATATGAAATTATTTTTAAATAATGAAATAATTTTGGAGATTTTTATAATTCAATTAATTTAAATTTTACAAAGGTGGATGAGATATAATTATTAATTATTATTTTATTTCTAAATGTTTGCCTTCATTCTAAAAGCTTGGAGATTCCTTGTTTATTATAAAAAGTTGGAAAGGGAATTCTCTGCCAATTGCCCGTGTGATCCTCAACTTCTTCATTGTCTAGAAACCTTTTTTCACTGATTATGACATTTCTATAAGATTTTTTTTTTCCCATTATATTTCTAATATGATCAATGATGAATAAATCTTTATGCTGCATGTTCACTAATATCCAAAAAGGGCATTAGAATACTTTTCGCAAAAATGAAAGGCTGCCGTCACTAATATTTTTGTGCAATATTATGAGGGATTCTTCACCAAATCTTACATCCCTCTGTCCAAAATTTGATTGAAGCTAATTTTTAAAAGGTATAGAGAATTTCAAGATTTCAAAACAATCTTGCATTTTCAGAAATGCAGAAATATGGTATCAAACAATAAAAACAGATAATCCGTGGTATATACCACTTTTTATGAACTTGTTTTAACATCCGACTGAAAATTCCTAAATAGCTTCATCTCATCGTAACCTACAAATATTTTATTTACGAAAATTCCCGGAATTGGGGCGTTTTCAATCTGGAGGGGGGCCAATTTTGTCAAATTTATTAGGCACTAAAGACTCGTTAATACCCATTTGCTTTCTACTTGGATCCTAAGATAATTTGATCACAAGATAAAAAAGATGACATACAAAAATATTGGGGCATTTGTTCAATATAACCTTGTTATTTTGAAAATTTGGGGATGTAGATCATGCCAAATGGCTCAATATTTTTTAAGGACATCTTTTTTCTGGATTTTGTGATGAAATTATCTTACGATCCAAGTAGAAAAATGTATATGTACGAGTTTTTAGTACCTAATTAAATAGACAAAGTTTGCTCCCCTCCAGATTGAAAACGCCCCAATTCCGAGAAGTAACAAACAAACACAAGAAACTGAGTGCTTACATATTTCTGTATTTCCAGAGAAACAAATATAGCAGGTTTTGGGAATTGCATCCAGAGAAACAAATATAGCAGATTTTGGGGATTGCATTTGCCCTAACTTTTTGTAATTTTAAAAACAAACAAAAGGAAGCAAAAGAAATTAAAAGAAGGCAAGATTCGTCAACGGTGTTGATGGATGAAGGAAGATCATTCAAATCATATCAGGAATCATTAAATTCAGCATTTCTCAGGCAAGAAAAAAATAGTAAAGAAATGTCTAAAAGCGACACTAGCGCTTGCCCAAGCTTCTATTGATTTCTCTTGAAAAACTGACAGCAGATGGAACTAGAGAAACAATTGATTTAGAAATTTTAGAGGAAGGAAATGATAGCTGTCATAAAAAGACTAAAATAGTGAAAAACTATTTTATTTATAGCCAATGTTTCTTCGTTTTTTCACTAAATTAGTCTTTTTATAATCGCCACCTTGGACCATCTCCTTCCTCTAAAATAATGGTCAGCTCCTCCTAATATTGGTCGAATCCTCTAAAATGGTCAACCATCAATTATTAGATTTAGAAATTTGTGTAATGTCTAAACGTACCTACATATGTATGGCTACTATTAGTGCCGCTTTTAGTGAGTGATAAACTTCTATACTAGGTGGCCTACAAAAACATTGGGCTATTTCGCCTATACAACCTCATTATTTTCACATTTTGGGGGTTTAGGTTACGCCTAACGATTAAATATTTTTGAAGGTCACCTTTTTTCTCGAGTTTGTGCTCAAATTATCTTATAATTTAAATGAAAAGCAAATGGGTATTTATGAATTTTTAGTACCTAATTAAATAGACAAAGTTTGACAATCTCCAGATTGAAAATGCCCCAATTCTCAGAAATAAAGTAGTTGTAGGCTACGATGAGATGAAGCTATTTACGAAGTTTCAGGCGGATGCTAATAATTTGATAAAAAGGGGTTTGTACCACGGACCTATTACACTCATGGTAGAGTATAAGGTTTCACCAATGTTGTGTGTTTGTAGGGACTATCTTGGTAATATTATATGCTAGATGCATTAGGGATAAGGATTGCTATCTAATCAGAGTTCTCACTAGTAATAATTATTTATGATGAGTTTCTTTGAATGCAGAACAATAGAGAATAAAGTTGCAACCAGAGGATCCTGTAAAATTTCGACAAATTTCATTTCTTTTATTGTATAACACACTGTTTCTATTTTGTTTTTCCTGCTGCTCATCTTTACCACAGATGAAAGGACTCAACTTCCCCGGGTCACACGATCCTCACTTCTGTCAATTTGTCATAGATCGCAGTCGCCATTTGTTAAAACCGGTGAGGAATCGTTACATCAGTCGACAGCATATTTCTGATATTTTATAATGTACTCATATGGCTTAATGTTTGTTTATTATTTTTCAGAAATTAACATTTCGAATTTCCATTATCATCTTATAAGGAAGAATTATATTAACATATTTGTGAATTTTATCTTGAAGAAATTTCTTCCATTTTTTATAAATAAATTATTTATTAATATTATTCTACTGCCAACATTTCAGACTCTTTTAACACATCTTCAGGAAAAATTTTACTAATTATTTTTCTAATTTTTGTTTATAGTTAGCATAACAAAAATAACCTTTTCACTTATGACTAAAAAATATTATTTTTTCAAAAGGATCTGGGATGGCTAAAGAGCTTGCAAGAAGTAATCAAAGTTAAGCTGTGTCGAGCATAGTAAGTACTTGGATATGTGACACTCCAAATGGGGTGATTGTACACCGAGGAAAAACAAGGGGTGAGCGAAACAATATTCATGTTCCCCTCTCCCTGATGTTTGCGCCTATGTTGTCTGCTATGATTTGGGTTCTGGGTTTGATTCTGACAGATAGTTATTTATTCTGTTTCATTATCTGTGGATCAACTGTTTGGTCAGGAGACACACCTGGTGCACATCCAACATCTATAAATTGGATACATTTCCACATTAGGTCATTCCACTACTGTTGACCAGTAACAATACTTCCATACAAAGTACTGAACCCATGACCCGTGAAGAGTTCAACTTCTCTTCAATATATATGTACTATAGTCAATAATTAAATAAGTTTACTTATTACCAATATCCTTCGAGCGAGCATCTCTGATGAAGATCTGAAACATCGTAACAAAGGAAATAAAAATGAATATTATTTATTTATTTTTATTTTGTATTTTCTTTGACTGAAATCCTCAACCAACTTCTCTTCAATGTTAATAAATAATTTATTGTAAAAAATTAAAGAAAATTCTTCAAGACAAAACCCACAAATAATTTTATGATATATATATATATATATATATATATATATATTATATATATATATATATATATATATATATTATATATATACATATATATATATATATATATATATATATATATATATATATATATATTGGAAACAATTACATTGTTTAAACTTGCCAGTAGTACATGTAGACCTTATATAATGTTTCATGCTGATCTGAAATTTGTTCTTTCATTTTCTCATTATGCAAGGACTTTGTGCTTTAAGATTAATTTGTCATTATTAACACTAATAATGACAACATAGTATTGATAATAATTTATTCTATTGATTTTAAGAGAAGGGATGATCGGGGTTATCAAAAAAAAAATTTCGAATAATGTAAACTATATATTGAAATCTATGTTTCGTTCCACTTTCAAGGTATTCTTCAGGGCTTGTAGTCGACAATGAGTCATACACTAGTCCTTGACTGCATGCCCTGAAACGTAGGTTTCAATAAATAATTTACACTATCTGAAGTTATTTATTTTATTGACAATCCGTACTATCTCATTCTTCATTATATACATCCTCGACTATTATATATAATGATAATTAATTTTGAAATGATTTGTCGTGAATTTGAATATGCTTAACTTGTTTAAAATAACACTAAATTTTTATCATAACAAAAATTCCTTGTATAGTGGGGGTAGAATAGGTTTTAGATCTGAATTCAGCTTGAAATATCATATTCACATATCAGTTTTAGTCATGTAAATTTTTTTTTTTATAATATCATCTTTCTTAACCATTTTAAAAATATTATGCGTTTTCATTGCATGATGTATTTTCTTGTGTGATTTTTTTTTTCCCGTTTGGTTTTATTTTCTCTATTTTATAAAACTTGAGCTTGCTCTTTTCTTCTCGCACAGCTTTTTCAATATGTCCTTTTTTCGTTTTCCTTCCTATTATTATTATTATTATTATTATTATTTAAATTATTTAATTGCTGAAACCAATGCTGTTTTATACACTCAATGTTTTTTTATATAAACCTAAATGTGAATGTCCACAATATAAAAGTTTCACTAACAAATTTTATTTCTTGTATATATTGTTAATAATTCACAGGGCACATATTTTGCAATTGTGTATATATGTGCACAGTTTTGTTTTATTATAATTACTGCACAAGATATTTTTATGTAATGGCTCTTTGTTCAAATAGATTCTGAAGCATCGTGTCGACGGCATTAGAAAAATGAGTGCACATCCTCTCCTGCCATTGTGTAAGTAATATTTTAATTTTGTATAAAATAATTGTCATTTCATGTTAGATTTCATATATCAGTAAGAATATTTTTAATACCGTACTTTCATGTTTATACCAATTTATTTTTTTAATATGACATTTTGGAAACAGTTTTTCTAATATCAAACATTTAATTCTTACATTACTATATTAAAAACATCAAAATTATTTTTAAAATTATTATTGGGAGAATACCCCCTGTCCACTTAACGTGGACCAAGCCCCATTTAACAAATTATACATCTGTTAATTTCATTACATATAGGTTGATCTCCTGTAAGTGCCATACTCTCCTAATACAAAATTAAGAATTTAGACCCGAAATGATAGTTTGCATTATTTTTTATATATATTCTTTATATACAAAATACAGTTCTTATGCTATCTTATTATTTTTATGCTATACTTTTTTGTTATCCTGTTATTTATTATTATTTTTTCATTTCCTTAGTTTTGTAATTTACTAATATTTTATTTTTTACTATTTTCTGTTATTCATGTTCTTTGTTTCTTGCTTTTTTTTTTTTTTTTTCTGTTCTCCATGATATCATATATATGTATTCCTTTATATCATATTTGTTCATTACCATTGTAGATAGCAAATATATCTTGACATATTGCATGCATAATGCATGTATCTTATAAAAAAAAAATACAGTACAGTATATATAATATAAGTACAAAATATTATATTATTCAATAAATAAATTTAAAAAACGTTCATAGAAACTAAACAACTCTCAGTTTTGACTTACTCCTCTTTCTATGCCATTGGCATGACTAATTACTATCTTTTCAATGACAAATGATTTTTTTACTTACTACCTTTTTCATATCAATATTTCAATTGATATGTTTTACATTTTGAATTAATTGAAGTCATTTAAACGACATGTTATAAATTTATATAATTTAAATAGCAATACATGTAATTTTTTTTTTCAGATTTGACCGGATCGCAGGACGGCTCGGTACAGATGTGGGAGTGGGGTCATAGCCAGGCGGTGACTATCCCGCGGCCTGGTGGTACCTTCGCCAAGGTGACGAGGGTGAGGTTTTCTCAACATGGCAATAAATTTGGAGTCGCGGACGGTGATGGAAATCTGAGTCTCTTCCAAGTCGGAATCGCATCGTCCACTGCTAGACCATTTTTTGTATGTATTTAATTATTATATTTGTACTTAAAACTTGAAGAGTTATTTTCAATTTTTATGGTTTTGGCTTTATCACATTCACTGATGATCACTCCAAATGGAATGATGAAGTACAATATAGGATAAGCACCATAGGAGTGAACGATTTCAAGGGCCCCATTGATCAATGGCTCTACCATTGATTATCACCATACAATGGAGCAGGGATATTGAAACATTATCGAAATGTGTTATTTTTCCATCCCCCTAAAAAACTCTTTTTTTCTCAAATACAAAGCCTTTACTTTTTTTTTTTTTTTTTTTTTGTAGCGGCACGAGTGCACTGCGGCCATGTAGGTCTATTGTACGCCTTATTTAAAGTCACTCCTGTTTAGAGTGTAATTCCCGCAGTCTCAATGAACTTTAATAAGCTTGTTGGATTGATAAACTCGTTTGCCTATGATAATTCACTTTACAGTGCCCTATATATGCTGCTGTAATTTTCTTAAGTGAGCTCTTGCTCAGATTAATTATTAAGTTACTTCTTTGTTGACAGATTCCTTCCAGAAACAGTCTAGGGCGGGTCTGTTTTTTCAAGCACCAGTTCATTTTGTTTTCAGCACCATACATCTCCCCGATTCTGTTTGTTATGAGACATTGACTAATTCCACAGATGGGTTCCGGAGCTATAGATTTCATTTGTGAGCCTAATATAGCTAATTTATCGGTCATCTCATTACCATGAATTCCAGAGTGATCTGGAACCTATTCAATGTTTACCTTATTAAGTCTGGATAAGTGATAGAGAATTCTAACACAATCCCCAACAGCCTTAGATCTAGTTGTATAGTTGTCTAGTGCTCGTATGGCTGCTTGACTGTCAGTATAAATTGTCATTCTTCTTCCAACTGACCCGTCAAGCAACATTTTTGAAGCACAGTGAGTTATCGCGAGTATTTCAGATTAGAACACTGTTGCGTAATTTCCAAGTGGTATTGACGTGCCAGCCTCTGGTTCGTCCCTTCTCCAAAAACCAGCTCCAGATCCGCATGTCATGAGTGACCCATCAGTATAACAGTTGATCCCATTAATGCGTTTGTGTTTTCCTGAGCTGTCCATTTTTACATTAAACATCTTTGTGAGAAATTCTCGAGTTTGAGTGTCAGAATGCATTGTGAGCAGCCTGTCCGCCTCAATTTTTTTAATTATTTCCCCTTGTCCCTCCAGGGTGTTTATCTTTATCTTAAAAAACTCAAATGACAAAAAAAACAAATCCAAAGCCATTTAATCATCAATTGTTTTATAATTTTAAAGATGACGTTCTGGCCAGCACTGGAGTCATTATCATGTCTCTAAAAAGTACATAAATGACCATTAAAATGTTTATTATTAATTTTAATAAAAGATTATGTTTTTACAGAAGAATCTTAAAACATAATATTATGTCTATTATTATTTTTTTTTATTTGCAGACGTGTCAATGCCATAACAAAGTCACTAGTGATTTTGTTTTCCTTGGATCTTGTAGTATGGTCGCGACCGCAGGCCATAGTTCCGAAAGCAAAAATGTTGCTCTTTGGGACACCCTACTTCCACAGAAAAAATCTCTCATTGTTGGTAAGCTGTCTATGTAAATTAATATAATCATTTATACTTTTTTTATTATTATTAAGCCTTTTTTATTTATTAAATTTTGAAATTTAGAGTTGTAGAGACCATTGTTATAACAATAACTTAAATGTCTCTGAAGAAATCAGTTAATGTTCTGTCCTTACTTATTTGAAATATTTTATCATTTCACATTGGTAACCATTTAGAAAAAATCTGGTGGAGTAGTAATGTCATGGTTTTCGAATTCAGAGAATCGTATCGAAGATGGGAGAGTACTCAGAAATTTTTAATGAAGTTCATTTCATATAATTAACTAGAACAAATTTAAAATATTTTTACAAATCGAATATTATTAACGAAGTTGACTGTACCAAATCCGAAAAAGTTTATTTACGTAAACTATTTAAAAAATTGAAAACACGAATCAAACATAAATTTTATTATAAAAACATGAATAAAATACTTTTATTTAGTTGTATTGAATTACAAATAATAAATATTTGTATACATGACTATAATAAAGCCTATTTGGGCATCCAAAGTTGAATTTTGGAGCTCCACTAACCTATCGAATTTCTCTTGTATGCAATCCTTACAATCCAAAATCCCCATTTCTCCTTGCTTTGTTACAAATAAAATCATCCATAATGGCCTTAATGTTCCATGTTTTTCCAATTAAGCCCAATCCAGATACTCATCTTTCTGTAATAAGCTTCAGAACAACCCGAATCATCTCGTTCCTAACCTTGCTTCGTCTTTGATCCCTGATAACCCCCAAGATGTCTGAAAAGTAGATGGCTTCGTGATCTTCTAATTTAGATACTTTGAATGCTACCAGTTAGGTAGGTAGAGTGCTACCAATGGGTTGTTTCTCTTAGTCTTTTCATTGTATTTCTCTGTTTCTCGTTTATTGGATGTATATTTATTTTTATACATTTGTAAATTTTATGAATAATATTAACAAAAAAAAAATATTTTTTTAAATTTCTTTATTGAGTATTATAACAATCTGTCTGTTGGACATTGGTTATAGTGAGGTAGGATGACATTCACACCATATGTACAAAAAAAATAAAATAAAAAGAACAAAACAATAATCAAAAGTATATACAATAGACAATAAAATAAAATAATCTAAAAAATAAGAAAATTAAAACTAAGGAGAAAAAAAAAAAAAAAAAAAACACACATGCATACCTATATACAATCAGGCGAGGGAACTCCAGGAGAACCCTGCGCTACTCTCCCAACCGCGTCACTGGTACTAAAGCCAGCGGAGATTGGTCGAGAGCACTTTAGCCACATACACACATGTCTTGAGTGAAGAATCAGGCCATTGCCAGAACTCCAATTTATATAATCTACAAAAGGTCGCGAGGCCACTGCCGTTTCAACCTTCTTGGAGGATTATAGGGATGGGAGATGCTTGATAGGGATTGTGCAAGAGGATTTGGGTGGTAAGTAAGGTTCTGGTGAAATTTGGAGAATTTTTCTGGGATAAGGTCTAGGACAAATGGGATGTTAAGGTCATGATGTAGGGTTTTGTTGGATACATAGAAAGGAGCATCGACTATTGTTTGAAGGACTTTAGACTGGAAGGATTGGATGCGCTTGATGTTAGAAAATTTTGCTGATCCCCACAGTTCTAGTCCGTAAGTCCAAATAGGTTTCAGTATTGTCTTGTAGATCAGTAGCTTGTTTTCAATGGAAAGTTTAGATTTTCTGCTTAGTAGTCGGTATAGTTGGCCGTATCGTCGGTTGAGTTCTTGTCTTTTGAGTCTAGTATGCGGGTTCCAAGTTAGTCTTCGGTCTAAATGAAAGCCAAGATACCGGACTGTGTATGAATAAGGAAGCTGGATGGAATTAAAGAGTACTGGTGGACAGGAATTGCGTCGGAGTGTAAAGGTAATATGTTGGCATTTAGATTCATTAACTTTAATGCGCCAGTTATTACACCAGTGCTCAATCAAGGTGAGGTGACTTTGGAGATTTAAGGATGCTATTTCGGGATCAGAGTTGGATGATAAGATTGCGGTGTCGTCAGCGAATGTTGCAAGAAAAGTATCGGGATGAACAGGGATGTCAGCAGTAAAGAGGATGTAAAGCACGGGACCCAAGACGCTGCCTTGGGGAACACCGGCTTTAACGGAGTAGATATTAGAAAATTCTGTTCCACAGCGAACTCGAAAGGAGCGGTCAGAGAGGTAGGATCGGAGGACTAGGTACAAGGACTGAGGTAAATGGATTTTAAGCTTGGAGAGCAGTCCGGAGTACCATACCCGGTCAAATGCCTGTGCAATGTCCAGAAAGGCACCCGAACAGTATTCCTTGTTTTCTAGGGCTGAGGAAATATGATCAACAACTCGGAGTCCTTGTTGAACAGTAGAATGTTGAGAGCGAAAACCAAACTGATGGGAAGGCATATTTTGGGATTCTATAATGGGTAGGATTCGTTTCAAAAGGATCTTTTCAAAAATTTTTGAAAGGATTGGGAGTAGGCTGATTGGTCTATAGGATGTTGAGCTATTGAGAGGTTTTCCTGGTTTTGGGAAAAGGATAATAGTGGAGTGTTTCCATAACAGAGGGAAGTGGGTGGTGCGTAGGATACAATTGTAGATATATGTAAGGAATATGACTGCTTTGGATGGAAGTTGTCGAAGGATTTGAGGTGTAAGGAGATCATGTCCAGGAGCTTTACGGAGGATTAGTTTTTTTAATTGAAATTTTACTTCGGAAGGATGAATAGCTTTTGGGGGCAAGGAAAGTGGGATTGGTGATGTAAGGAGTTCTTCTACTGTTACGGTGTGGGCAGGATGGGATTCCGGATGTGAAATAAATGTATTGGATAGGTGAATGGCGAACTCCTCAGCTTTATCTTCGTCAGATGCTGCCCAGGAGCCATCACCTCGTCAGAGAGGATGGGAAATGCGGTGAGGATTTAGGATTTTTGTTGTGGTTTTCCAAAGGGAATTGTCGCGAGAAGAGAGGGAGGATAGGTAGGAGTTGAAGGATTGTGATCTGAAGGTGGCTAATTCCAGTTTTAATTGTTTGCAGTAGTAATTATAGTAGCAGCGGTCGGTAGGATGTCGGGTACGTTGCCATAATAATCTGGCACGGCGTTTGGTGCGGATTAGGTTAAGGATGTGTTGGGGTAGAATGGTCTTTATAGGAATTCTGGAGGAGTCTTTTGGGAAGGAGGCAGTCCAGGCGGCTTGTTGGATTGTGGTAGTAAAGGAATTTACGGCACTATCAAGGTCATCGGGAGTTTTGAGGGATATGTTGAGATCAATATTATCGGAGATTATTTGGCGGAAAAGGTCCCAGTTTACTGGGCCCCTAATGAATGACGGTGGAGAAGGTTTGGGAACAGGTTCAAGTGAAACATTAAGGATTAGAGGACTATGGTCAGAGGAAAGTTCATTTAGACGTGTAATGGAACAATTGAGGGGACTTAAGCCGCTGTGGATAAAGAAATCAAGAAGATCAGGATTACGGTTGGGATCTGTGGGCCAGTAGGTAGGAGAGTTGGGGGAAAGGAGGTGAAAACATTGGGAATTGAGTGCAGACAGCAGGGTTCGGCCACGAGAATTCGTGGTTCTGGAACCCCATTGTTGGTGCTTGGCATTTAGGTCTGCACCCAAGATGAAGTGATGTCCTAAGGAGTCGAGGAGAGAACTGAATTGGGCATTGGATATGGATCGGTTAGGAGGGCAATACGCTGATGCAAGAGTGACCGGAAAGGAGAAGGTTTTTATCACGATAGCGGTGGACTGTAGGAAATCATGTATTGGTAATGGGAGTACGTGATGGGAGAGGGATTGGTGTACAATTACAGCAGTACCGGCATGTGCTTTTCCGTCAGGGTGGTCAGTACGATATGTCAGGTATTGTGGTATATTGAAGTGCTGTTTAGTGGTTAGTCGAGTTTCAGTAATTAGTGCCACATCAATGTTCTTGTCAAGTAGTAAAGTAGATAGTTCGTCTGTATGATTTCTAACACCATTCGCATTCCAAAGGAGAATGGATATGGGTTTAGGGATGTGAGTCATTTAAGGATTTTTCAAAGGAGGGATGAGGTGAGATACGAGATTCATGAGGAGTGATATGAGTGGAGTAACAAGGGATTTGAAATCGGTGAGGAAAGATGCTAACAAACTTGTGAGATCTGTTGCATTTGAAGGAGGAGGAATATGAGGAATTTGTTGTTGGTGGTTAGGTATATTAGGATGAAGAGGATTTTGAGGTTGGGTTTGAGGTTGTTGTTGTGGCAGGGCTTGACATTTATCGGTTAAAGTCTTACCTCTAAGTAGTTGGGAGAATGATACATCATTGTTTACAATTCTGGAAGGCTCTCTCTCTCTTCTTGTTCTTATTGCTTCATCTTGAATCCGGTTTTTCTGGTGTCTGGTTTTGAGATTCTTGTAAATTTGGCAGCCTTTGTAGTTGGCCGGGTGTCCCTCCAAGCATAGGGCACATACTGCTGGATCTTGTATAGGTTTGGTGCACTCTACAGATTTGTGCTGTTCACCGCACTTCACGCAACGCGGCAGATGGTGGCAATATGTCTTCGTGTGGCCATAGGTCTGACAATTATGGCACTGCACGATGTCTCTCTTGGGATATGGCTTCTCAACTTTCACCATTGTGTAGTATATTCTTGTGATATCATATATTTTTTCGTTATCTGGTGATGGCTCCAAGTCCACGAAAAACAATGGTAGTGGGATCCTATTTCGTAATCCTGGCTGCTCCCTGTCCTCCTTCAAAACGTTTGTTACCTGGCGTACATTGAAACCAAGCGTCGTTAGTTCTTCTTTAATAACTTCAGTGGGGGTTGAGGAATGTAAATTTGTTATCACTACTCGTAAAGCTCTTTCCTGCCTCAGCTGGTAAGTGTGAAAATTCGCATTTGTTTCTGATAAGTACTTCACTATTTTTCGGTAGGCTTCTGCAGAATCAGGTGTTATTTTGGTGTCATTGGTCCTGTTAAGGCATGAATAACTGCCAGAGCAGATTTTATTTAGTTGGGTGCAGAACATCTGGAAATTTTTTATATTTTTCACAAATATCGGAGGAGGCTTTGGTTCTCTGGGTATTGCTGCAGACTCCATTACTTCTCTGTCATTTTGAAGCACTTGGTAGGGGTTTGGAGTAAAGAAAGGTGATTCTTCAATCGTTTCTTGTGCAGACGTACCTGGTTGGGGCTGAGGTTCTGGTTCTGAAGTGTTCATTTTGGTCACTGGAGGTATTTCTCGTAGGCAGCGACGAGTCCTTTGTTTGGCTGGTGAGCTAACTCCGTCTGACCGAGACCTCTTGGGCACCTTACTGGCCATCACTTGCTGATCATACCGCATATCATAAGAGAAAAATAAATAAATAAATAAAAAAAAAAAATAAAAATTTTTTTTTTTTTTTTTCTTAAAATAACAAAAAAAAAGATGTCAACAGTAAATATCAACTGCTCTGATATACACTTAACTGTATCACGTGAATAATCAGAGAGATTCCGCTATAAAATTGGTAAAAACTGAGAGAGGAGTTGAGGAGACAACCTTCTCATCAGCTGATGGCTTCGTGATCTTCTAATTTAGATACATTGAATGCTACCAGTTAGGTAGGTAGAGTGCTACCAATGGGTAGTTTCTCTTCAAGTCTTTTCATTGTATTTCTCTGTTTCTCGTTTATTGGATGTATATTTATTTTTATACATTTGTAAATTTTATGAATAATATTAACAAAAAAAAATATTAAAACTATTTTCAGGTAAACAAAATATTTGAATAATATTAAAAAAACTTGTTTAAATGGCCACTTACGATTGCTAAGCTATAAAGTAGCTGAGCATTATAAGTAGGCTTAATAAATGGATTTGAGATCCTTCTATGGGTCAGATCAATATCCTCTGTTCACAGAGTTATTCAAGCTAGAAGTTTGTATTATACAGCCAAGGCTCTTATCATGGTAAATTAAAATATAATGGCAGAAAAGTAATATTTAGAAATTAAGCTGTGAGTGACAGCTAGTTGATCAGAACTTCATAACTTAGTTCAATATCTAAAATAAAAAATATAAATAAAATATGTTTACTATAAAATTTCATATGTACCCAGTGGTTTAACTAATCTATTCTCTTTGTTAATACTCCTAGCTTTCACATGCCACGATCAAGGGGCATCATCGCTTGTATTTGCTCCTCAGCATCAACTGCTTATATCCGCTGGTAAGAAAGGAGATGTGTGTATTATCGACGTCCGAAGTCGAGCGATGAGGCAGAGATTTGCAGCTCATGATTCAGCAGTTAAGTGCCTTGCTGTGGATCCTGCTGAAGAATTTTTCGCAACCGGAGCTTCAGATGGAGACATAAAGGTATTAACCGTGGTGATATCATTTTTACTTTCACTTACCTGCATATGAAATTAGGGAAAGTTATGCTATTGAAAATGAGGGAAAATTTTTTAATCCAAGTTTTCTACATAAATAAACATTTTGAGGTTCCCCGAGTCAAAATAACCAAGTCTCACAAAATGGTCTGTTTGTATTTGAACAGTCTAGCTCCAAAACAAAAAATCGTATGAAACTGAAATTCCATATTTAAAATTTGTATATGCCAAGTATGGTACAGTAATTTTTTTTTCAAAATCAACTCACTGAAAGTGCGATTTTATGTAATCGATTTTACAATTTTTACCGTTAACGAGTTCTATCATTTCCTCTTGATAGATAGTGGTTTTTGAAAGTGTTGAAATCCTTATATATCTTAGGATCAGACAAACAGCAAGGAAATGGTAAGTGTCTTCAGGGGTATTGATATTACGTAAAGAGCACATATAAATTCTATCGAGTCTCTAGCATTGACAAGTCAAATGTAAAATTTTCCCCCTTGCTAAGAAAATTATTTTAACAAAACCTGGGCTTGCATCATTTGTTATATAATGATTAGTTAAACTATGATCTAGCTGGGCATAACCAGGATGAAATTCTGCTCTTCTTGCTCTTTGCAAATCATCCTTATTATATTTTTCATTTATTTTATTAAACACAGCTTGAATGGTCTACCTATCCAGTGTGAGAGTATGTATAGTCAAATTAATCCCCAAAACTCGTCCTAAGTTTATTAACTCTTTATACGAGTATATTTTTTTTTCTATTATTATTTTTGCTATAAAGTTGGTGTATCTCTCCGGGCCATGAAGGTTCAACACTGAATTTATATACCTGAGATGTAATGAGAGGAGATATAGGTGCAATCTTTAAAACCTGTATCGATGTAGAGCATGTAATTAGGAATACCAACTGGTAAATTCAATAATTTTCCAATGAAGTACCTATTCAATTTTTCTACCTCCTCCACACATAGCAAGCCCCAAACTTGGGCCGCATAGCCTTCAATTGAATTGGTAGCAGCATTATAAATGGACGCTTTCTTGTCTAGAGGTATTTCTTTTTTCATTATGATTCCGCCTCATATACTGTTCTATAACTTTTCTATCAATATACCATTACAGTTAATAGTATCACAGCCAACAATTTTACAAGAAATATAAGAGTAATCTGTATTATTTATAGTTTACAGTTACGAGGGTGCTCTGAAAAGTTTCCAACCTAACAAAAATACAGGCCTTTTTTTCTGACATTTGATTTTTTATTTTTCGACATAGTCTCCTTGTAACTCTACACACTTCTCACAGCGATGCTCCCATCTCTGTAACCTGTCCAAAAAGTACTCAGCGTTTTTCTCTGCAAAATAATTGTTCACGAAGGTGCCTGTTGCCTCTTCATTTGAAAGTCGCTTGGGGCTAGATCTGGTGAGTAAGTTGGATGGTCAAGCAGTTCAAACCGTAATTCATGGATTTTCGCCATGGCAACTGCTGAGGTGTGAGATGGTGCATTGTGTTGGTGAAACAGGATTTTCTTTTTCTGCAAATGTGGCTATTTTTCCACAAGTTCTGCCTTCAGCTTGTCAAGTAACTCCATGACTATCCCAAAAACCAGTCGCCATCACTTTTCCAACCGAGAAAACTGTTTTTGCTTTTTTTGGAGCCAGTTTCCCCTTTGCAGTCCACTGTTTGGACTGTATTTTTGTTTCGGGCTTATAATAGTGTATCCAAGTTTCATCTACAGTAATTAATTGGTGCCAAAACTCAGATTTATTGCGCCTAAACTGTGCCAACAGAGCATTGGAAATGTTCATTCGAACACATTTTTGGTCTAACGTGAGCAAACACGGCACTCAACGTGCGGACAGCTTTCTCATACCTGAATGTTGATTTAATATATAACAAACATGTTCTTTTGACATGTTCATAACCTCTGCTATTTCTCTCACTTTAATTCGGCGGTCGTCTAGCACCATTTGGTGAACTTTGCCGATGTTTTCGTCGGTAGTTGCAGTTTTTGGACGTCTTGAACGTTCATCGTCTTCCAAGCTCTTACGGCCACGTTTAAATTCATCTGCCCAAAATTTCACTGTGGTAAATGATGTGAAAAGTCCCCATACACAGAATCCAACTCATCTTTGATTTACGTAGGCATTTTCACAAAAACACTCACATCAACTCACTTGAACGACTGTTACATAAAAATTGCACGTCCAAAATGGCTGAAACTTTGGTGGGTAACTGTCAACAGATGAACAACAAAATTCACCTGCTTTTATTCACGAGAGCTGCCATCTTCACATTGCGGTCGGAAACTTTTCAGACCACCCTCGTATAAGTATTTTAATGGCAGAAAAGATATCGGTCATCTTTGTACTCTTTCAGATACAACGGTTTACAGTTGTTATATATAGTTTAGATAGACTCTTGAAGAAACTTTTAACCTATTGCTGTGACCATTTTTAATTTAACTTTTCTTTATTTGTTTAGGTTTGGAGCCTAACTCTTCATCAAGTTCTGTACAACTTCCCCGGAGAGCATGCTAAATCCAGCTTCTTCAAACCTATCGGTCAAGGAGTTACACAGTTATATCTAGATGGAGCTGCAAGGTTATTTTCCTGTGGTGCTGACGGAAGTATGAAATTCCGTCAGTTGCCGGAAGAAAGAGATTATCACACTTAAGCTTATTGTGTTTCACTAGTCATCCATTGCATGGAGGTATCGTTTCTTCCTTTAATATTTGTTTTGATAAAATTAAGAATAAAGAAAGAAATAAAAAGAATTTTTTTTGTTTACCAAAGAAATGCTTATCAAAAATTAGAAGGTTTATAAAAAAAAATATATAAATATAATAATAAAATAAAACCTTTACAGGTGAACAGTGATAACATCCCAAATATTTAAAATATTGTCATGTAATTAGAATTTCAACTGTCTTCAAAAAGCAATGGAAAGTACAATAAATTATCTATTTGTAAATATTATTTATTGTAAATAAAGGTTTATTGTTAAAATGAAAGGCGATAATAGAATGATTTGAAAATATAATTTAAAAATGGTCTATTTTAATTAAACAGAAATGAAGAATTTTTTCCCTCACCAGTTACCTCGTATTATTTAGATTATTTTTATTTTATTTTTTAATACCTTTAAAGAATTGATATTATGTAATCGTTATCTCTATTCACTTGTATCTTAAATAATGATGTTAGTCAAGAATATTAATATTCCCTATTAAGTTGTGTATTAAATTATTTGAAGTGTTAAAATTGATCCTATCGCCTAGTCTTTAAATGCAATTTTTTTTTAAAGATTATGAATAAATATAATGTTATCTGTAAGACATTGGTGATTATAAAGATGAATAACTTCGTCGAAGAATTATTGTTGATTATTAATGCTTCAAAGGGTCCGTAAATGTATATTTGAATTGTTAAAACTATTTGTGTATACAATGTATGTACATATATATATCCTAGTTTGTATGTGTCTGTCCGTGTATATGCATAGACATATTTAAGTGTTTGTTCATAATATTTCAACCAAAATCTTATGTATTACGTAATGTAAAGTTTTTTTTTTTTAGTATAATTTATTTATTGATAGTAATATTCAATTTTTGAGTTTATTAGACACATATATACGCAAGTGTGGAAGGGTTAGCTGTTTGTTATTAGATAAAACTTATAAATACTTATCGCAAATAAGTAATTAATAAATAGAAAAAAAGTTGATATTGATTATATCAAAAGATTGTTATAATAAAATATGCTGTGCCTCTATTTCCTAAATATAATTATGGGATATATGGTATAATTATAGGTATATATATTTACTGTTTAAGAATAATATTTAATCGTCAAATATTTTAATTCAATCTTTTCTCACTAATCTTCCAATTGTATCGACAATTTACTCCCTGTCTGTATTCAAAATATGAAATATCGAAAAAAAAAAAAAAAAAGTTGTTCGCTTTTAAATGTATCTTACGACAATACTGTTTACGCTACCGATATTTTTAAGGATGTATCTATTTTATGGTGAAGTAAATAGGTAACACTTGATGCTATAGTCTATAAGCACTTTGGAGTTTTATTCTATTACTTTTTTTTTTTCCTTTAGCGCACTTGTTATATCTAAGCACTTCATCTCATTTTTAGTTCTATTATAAAAAAAAAAAGTATGATAGGCAACCTAAATATACTCTCTCTTATCTGGTTTAGATAAGATGACCAACTTGTGGAATATCAGATATTATCGATTAACCAGAAAAAGTTAGTAATATTATTGTTAATACTCAAATTCAAGATAAAAAAAGAACTTTACTTTAGCCATATATAGTCGAAAAAAAAGTTTAAATATGAAAAAGTACTCATGATCTTTTCATTCTATCTGTCATGTATAAACTAAAGTCCCAAAATAGAACAGTACTAAACCCGCAGAAGGTAAAAAAGGAAATGATTATTTTCATGTATATATTTAATGACAAATTTTATAATGAAAAATGATATACATCTTACAAAAAACTTAATATGCTGTGCTTAATTTCTAATAACTTGAGTGACACAATATTTCTTATAAATTATATTGTGGGTTTGTTGCAAAAAGTATTAAGTGACATTTTATAACCTTAAATCACCAACAACTTCGATGAATTTTTCTTTTGTGAAATCTAAAAATCGTGTGCTTGTAACTATATTTGATATGTAAAAGAATTTGTGTCATTTTATTGCACTCATTGTTTTTTTTATTTTATCAATAAATGAGGTATAAATTCTCAAAATCTCTGAAAGTTCAGTTCTATCTAAAATGTACTAAGTTACTTTTTTCAATAAACCAATGATACATAAATATGTAAGTTTTTTTTTTTTTTTTGTGAAATTACTTTTTCTGTTTTTATACATTTTTTTTTTTTATGCCTCATTGTGGACATTTTGGGTTATAAGCCCCGTTTTAATGGATAATTTCTATTTATGTTATATTTTCCTTATCATAATAAATTTCGTCATTTTCTTAAAATTTATTCTGAATAAAATTTGTCATCTTATAGATGTGCATTTAGTTCCTGACAGAAACAAAATTATCGGAACCACATAATATGAAATTTGGACTTGATTATAATAATTTGAAATAGAAAATGCATTACTAATGAAAGTTGGAATTCTGTAAACCAATGTAGGACGCTAGACGGTTCATACATATTATAGGATTTTACTACCAAAAGGATGCCTGGGAAATCTAGTAACATGCTAAATATCACAATAGAAAACAAGTCCAATTACATATTTAGTTTTTGTTTGTTTTATAAAAATAAAAAACGTATGGAAATTTTGTTTGTTTGCTTATATGTTTTCCATTTAACACAGAATCCCCAAAACTTTCTTTATTTTTGGAAACTAAAATAAAATACTCATAAAGGTTTTTTAAAATGGTTTTCTTACAAATTTGATAAAATTGAACCGATTCATATTTTACAGAAAATCTGTAATATTGTTACAATCAATAAGTTCTGATAAACTTTCACATAATCTTGATACCTCATTAATTTTATGCATAAATAAATCTAATAAATATGTGAAAAATTGAGATTTATTCGAATAAAAAAAGAAAATCCAGCAATTGATAACAAAAGTAAAGGTTTCATAGAAACAAGGTTAGTAAATCAAAATAAAATTATACCATCATACCACAGACAGCGCCATCACGTGCTAAATAAGTTTGTGAGTACTTCTATAATTATTTTGTTTTATTTCTCAAACTAAACTTCTTTTTAAGCTCAGACTTGAGGAACTATGAAAATATTTGAAAATTACAAAGAAAGTATGATACAACAGAATAAAAAATAATTTAAGTTATGTAAACTGTAAAAGTAAAATTCAGTATGCACACTGCAAAACTCAAGTTATTCATAAGACAAAATAAACTAAATATTTCTTATTGTGTGAACTTGATTTTCTATTCAGTATTTACTACATGCATAAGACAAAGATGTAATGTTTTAAATAACTTTTTTTATTTTTATTTATTATGATTTACCAGAAAATCTTAAAACTATAGTTCCTGATAAAATTTTACTTAATATCTTTTACAGCGTGGTTGTCTTTATGATACTTTCCTAAGCTAGCCATGTTGCAGAGTTAAACAACATATTTATTGCTGTAAAATTTATATCTTACTAATTATTGGATTAAAATGACTTAATTAATTATTTATGCAGTTTTATTTATTTGTAATGCTATGAAAATATGGAAAGTGAACAATTGGGTTTTATAACTATATAAATGAAATACAATAACAAAAAAAGTACAAATTAATTATAAACAGTGCCATTTTAATTAAAAGTTTCATTAAAGTTCCTTGAAAAAAAAATTAATATATATATAAATTTCGGTATATAGAAAGATTGCAATTATTCATTCTTGTCATACTCAAGAAATTAACAATTTATTTTAAAATATTACATTTAAGTACCACATCATCAATTTTTTCAAACATTTGACTTAATCACAATTTTTGTAAATGTATGTATTTTTACTGCATCTTCATTTTTCACACCACTTTTTACGTCTTGAAAATTTAATTTATTTTTGTTTTTATGAGCAATGTTATTAAGGTAAAAGTTAAACTGAATTCAAAATGAAAATCTCATTCCTGTATATACTTTATTGTTTCTTCTCTGCGATTTTTTTTTCTTGTTTAATTATTAAAATTGTTATGAATGTAAATTAAAGGCCCTTTTTGGTGACAATTATATCTATTATATATTTTTAAATATGATTTCTTATTCGGTGTATAGAGATTTTGACCACAGAATTTGATCTACAAACATTTGACTTTATTTAATGAAATTAAATAGAAACTACAAATTGTATTTAATGAAATTATGAATTTCAGATAGATATAAATTAAAATTAAATGGAACATTACTATCGATAAGTTATAGTGCAATTTAAAATCATTGAAAGTCATAAGTTTAAATATTACAAACATAAACATTATCTGATTCTATAGAAAGGATATCATGTAAGCTATTCCATATTCAAAATGACCAAAACAAGTTTGTTTGTTTTTTTTCTTTTTTTTTATGAAAGTAAATAAAGAAGAATTATTAAATAAAACCCATGAAATATTTAATTATAGAAATTAAGAGAAAAGTTTTTTATTATATACACCACTCATTACTACAAAGTTATCAATGCTATCTTGATCTTATTAATTATGTCATGGCTATCTTGATCTTATTACTGAATCTGTTTGTAATGGACTGTTGGTAATAAGTTATAGAATTTTATAGCCTGTGTTTTTAGTTTTTATTAAATAAACATAAAATGTTTATTTCCAACAATATCTATTAAAGTTAAATGTTATTCTATTAATAACAATCTTGTATCAGATACATAATAATGAAACATTAGATCTAGATTACTTGAATGATTAACACAATTAGTATACTTTAATACTGTAATGGCACTGAATTCATTAACAATTCAATTAATAATTATTATTTTACTAGAAAAGTTAATGTTTTGTTTATTGCTTACAAAAGATATCTTGTGGTAACTGACATTATCAGAGATAATTCTTTATAATTTTATGTTAAAAAAATATTGGAAGAGTTAAAGAAAAACTTTAAAAATAAGATTTAAAAAAAAGTGGTATACAGACTGAGCGAGCAGACACAT